TGCTGATGGGAGGAGGTTGTCACTCAAAATCTCACGATACATGGCCCCATTCATTCTTTCCTTTACACGGATCAGTCGTCCTGGTCCCTTTGCAGAAAAACAGCCCCAAAGCATGATGTTTCCACCCCCATGTTTCACAGTAGGTATGGTGTTCTTTGGATGCAACTCAGCATTCTTTCTCCTCCAAACACGTCGAGTTGAGTTTTTACCAAAACGTTCTATTTTGGTTTCATCTGACATTCTCCCAATCCTCTTCTGGATCATCTAAATGCTCTCTAGCAAACTTCAGATGGGCCTGGACATGTACTGGCTTAAGCAGGGGNTTGATGGACATGCGCAATTTGATTGTTCAACAGGTACAGTGGGGCAAAAATCATCTTTTTAAGTGGGAGAACTTGCACAATTGGTGGCTGACTAAATACTTTTTTGCCCCACTGTACCTGTTGAACAATCAAATTGCGCATGTCCATCAAAACAACTTTTTAATTTTCTTTTGACACGTCATGGCATGGCTTGTTTTTTTCGTAGGTGACCAAAGTGGCGACCGAGCGGCCCCTCCCTGTGAACCCGTACCACTCTCGGGAACGTCCTGAGCCCAACGCGGTCATCGAGGGTCACCTTGAGACTTCCAAACATGGCAGCAGGTTATCCTTCTTTGGCTGGTGAGGCAGTCACCTGCAAAACCAGGGGCTCTGTCCAAAAGCATCGAGACTACCCTTCACCATCGATACATCAATTACACTTCAAAAGGTTTAAAAGGATGCAGACACTAGCAGTAAGGAGGCTGGTGTCTGCACCCTTTAAATGTGTAAGGGGTGCGGGTTGGTTTTGGACAGGGCTCATGTCCCAGCAGTCTTTTCATCAGCTGCAGCATCGTCAAGCTGTTGGATAAAGGACAGTAGTATGGATAAGTGTGTAAACAAAGTCCATGAAACTTTCCTGACCACTTCTGTAAATGTAATGAGTGAACAAATGCAACATGCTGTATAGTGTTGTCAAATAATAAAAAGATAAATTATCATCCTGGACTTGAATGTCTTTATTGATCTATTGAAGACTCTGTTGCCTTAAAACAGAATAGATTCATAAATGTTCTAACAATAAAAGGGTCATATATTTAAAGGCTTCATGTTGCCAGACACCGTTCCTTCAATATCTGCAAATTATAGGCAACACCATCGTCTTTGCACATCTGTGTTTTGTCAGACTGAGTGTTGTTAGACTGATGGAGGGCGAGGTTGTAGGTCAAGGTTCAGGGTCATTACCTGCAGCCAGAGAGAGCTGCTTCTGCTTCCTCCTTTTCTCCCAGCTCACTTCCTGCCTCTGACCTGGACTGAAAGAAGACTTTAGGAGTCATTGCGGAGATTCACAGTAAAGTGTTATTGCTGCCGGCACGCGTGTGTACTCGTGACCTTGAGTCGCAGGAGAGGAGAGGCCAACTCAAAGACATGCCGGCCTGTGGAACAAAGTGGACTGTGCCAACGCACGCACACACTAGATCAAAGTTGAAGTATAAGTTACCAGGTTTGTATTACCCAAATCTAAATCAAATATGGGACAAAAAACAGTCATGTACAGAGCCATGATCAGCTGGAACTCTTTACCGGTTCACATCATTCAGGAACATTCTCAAGTACATTTCAAAAGGTTGCTAAAAAATTATTTAGGAATTATAAAGTAAATTTGAACTGTGGCTATGTATGCATATATTATGATGTAAACTTATTTGTATTTACTTTTGTTTGGCCTTAGGATGGCGATAATAGGATGACCATTTTAGTTTTCACTGTAAATTGCATGCAATGATGAGTTGTTTTGTTTTGTTTTAATTTTTGTTTTATTTTAATTTTGTTGTATGTATGTTTATGTAAGTTTTGAGTGTGTGAGGACCCCAGGAAGAATAGCCAATGCTCATGCTAGTGCTAATGGGGATCCTAATAAAGACATAAAAGCTCTGATTTAGTTTCAGCACATGTCTAAATTGTTTAAAAACTATTCTAGTAGTCCTGATATGACTTGCTTTACTACACACGTGAGACATGTTGGGTCTTTAACCCTGTGCCATGTGGTTGATTTCTTCAGGGACCAATAGTAGTGCATGATTTGACAGCTTTCTCATACTCAAAAGCAGGGATGTGGCCCTCGGGTGTTCAAACATGATGTAAAACGTCTTTTTTTTAGTGCTCAGAAACACAGGGACTTAACTTATAAGGGAAGTCGACAGCTATCCATTTGTGGTCACTGGGATTGTATTCTGAAAAATGTAAAAATACAAAGAGATGTTGATTATTCTAGATGGAGCGTTGATATAATTCATGTTGATTGTGTCTGCTGCTACACTGTGTGTCTTTAACATTTTTCCCACAAGTTTCTTTTTATCCTTCAGACGGCATTTCAACACTGTCACAGCGTATTGCCAAAAACAACCATCATTTTTCAGTGTGTGTACAGTAGCTCCATGGAAGTATGTATGCATACATGAGTGTGCACGTCTCCTTGTTTCTATAGGGCGTCACTGCAGTAGTTTGTAGAAATCCCCTCGCAAGGTGTGGTCTGGACCTGCGGCCCGCTCAGGAAACGCCTGACAGACCCTCTTCTGACCTGGACAGTGGGACAAAGGGAGGAGGGAAGAAGGGATTCAAAGAGGAAAGGAGTTATGGAGGAGAAGGGGCAGAGGACACACAGATGCACGTAATAACATAGTAAAGGAGGAGGGTGATAGAAATTAAGGGAATTGGAGTAACATAAAAATAAGAAATAGTTATAAGGATGAAACAAGATACAGGGCTTGGAAAAAAGTGACATCCAATAAGGGCATGGAGGGTAATGACCTGACGGAGTGGGGTCTCGGAGGTTATTCAGGGGCTGGCGGTGAGGCCCCGGGGCTCGTGGCAGGCCTGTCTCCATGCGACTTGCAGGAAGCAGAGGGTCATCATTTGACACGGCACCGCCACAGGAAACGGCTCTGGCACAGGAAAGAAATACAATACATCGCTTTCACAAAGATACAGCCCGCCTGGGAGCCCAATGCGCTAAAATACTCAAACAACCCGGCTTGTTCTTGTTCATAACACAAGACTGTCAATATTCCCATTGTTCTGAGACTGGTTCCACATAAAGGGAATGTTTGAAGTGATGATGAGCACAAACAGTCCAAGCTGGTGTTTATTTGTTCCTTTACTGTCAATCATTTGAGGATAGAGTTCAAGCTGATAAAACTAGGGCTGCACAGTATAATGAAAACATGCAATTTGCATTAACGGTACGTCCAAACGGCAGCGTGCGTTGAAGCTTGCCGGTGGGCGTGTCTGGCGTGCGACCAACAACCAATCACATGAATCTCCCGCCCCAGACACACAAGCACGCGGTTTGATTGGCTAGAGCTTGTACTGGCATATGATTCGATTGGCTGACGCCTCCGTCGAGGCGTCAAAAGTAGAACATTGCTCTACTTTTGCAGCGAGCACCGCGAGAGAAGCTACGCTTTGCTCCCACAATGCAGTTCGGCGAATCATGACGTCACCCCATTCAAAGTGAATGGGCAGAAGCGTTGAAGCGGCAACGCACGCCGCCGTCTGTAGGGGCCGTTAAGTCAAGAAGAATTACTTCCAACATTCTTTAATGGAAAAGTTGAACTCTGTAATAAACACAAGTTATTTGTACTTCCTTTCAAGTAACCAAAAAAAACACAAGTATATCACAATATCGCAGACTTTTAAATCCATTCAAATGAAAATAAAAATATTAGCCTATATTATGGCATCCTAGTTTTTTACAGCTGGTATTGTTCATGAACCATTGTTTATGTCCCTCAAATTTGTTTTAAATGCACAAAGATAAATCAAGGGCCATCTGTATATTTAAATATAATTTTTATTTTCTGAAAAACTATAACTAATGCACTCACTATCAGTAAAACTACAGTAAAATTCTCTTCCATGAGACGTCTGCATCCATGCCTTCAAGAGCCCCTAACATGTGGGCGCACTTGATTTGACTAAGGTGCACCAACATAAACAAATCAAACAATTTGTTTATGTTGGTTCGCCTTCCTCACCATTTCGCCCTTTGATCTTTAGACCGTGCATGTCATTGAGTGCTGCTTTCATGTCTCCTCTCATCCCATCATACTGCACAGGGTGGCTTTGAACTGCCATGCAGGTTGCTCTATGTATAAAACACACGCCCACAAACCACAAGTACCACCAGTGCATCCCCGACCACCACTCATGGAGATTAATAATCCGAGAGCTCCAAAAGGGTAAACACACTCACACATGCTCACTCACACAGCAGACAGTGTTGTTTTTTCTTTGTGTTTTCTGAGGAGAGCCATGCAGGCATATTTACATGAGGAAGAACAACTCTAGTAAAACCAGGGCCTTTGTCGTGTGTAGGCGTGCATTGGGCAATTTAACTTTTGGCAAGAGTCAGAGATGTGGTGGACAATTGGATTAGAGAGAAAAGAGTATGGTTCTTTAACTTGTGGTAAAATAAAAAAATGTGTTAATAAAGGTGTGGGTGTTCTTTTTACCAGAGGTGAAAGAAGTTGTGCTTAAGTAAAAGTAAAACTACTAGAGTGTAGGAATAATCTTTTATAAGTAAAAGTCATGTAATCAAAATGTTACTCAAGTAAAAGTAGAAAAGTATTTGCTTCAAAATATACTTAAATTACCAAAAGTAAAAGCACTCATTATGCAGATTGGTCCATTTCAGAATAATATATATTTTATGTTTTGATTATAATTATCGATTATCAACAATATATAAGTGTTATCAAAGCTGGTAAAGGTGCAGCTAGTTTTAATCACTTTTTATACTGCAGGGTAGCTTGTGAATTTACTCTAATACATTTTGTTTAATTTGTTGTTTATATTTCACATCATTAATCCAAATCTGCCAAGAACCTTTAAGGTACAAAATAAATGTAGTGGAGTAAAATGGAAATACTCAAGGTAAGTACAAGTATCTCAAAATTGTATTTAACTGTAGTTGAGTAAATGTACTTAGCTACTTGCCACCTCTGCTTTTTACCCAACCTGGAGTAGAGCTTTAATGATAATGAAAATGGGGCGCGATGGGAGAGGGCCGAGACCATGCATTAAATTACAAGTTAATACTTTATATTGTAGAAAAATTAATTTAAGGGGAGAATTAATGTTATCTTTTTTATATAAACTAAGGAAATTAGCGTTTGGTAGATAACTTCTTTGTTGTCTTTGTAGCAAAAAAAAGCTGTTTGGCATTGGCTGAGAGGATTTGGTAAATCTTTCATGGGCGCAACCCACATACTCAGCTCGGCTGCTCATCCCACAAATGTATGTTCTTCACAAATGTGGCACCATTTAAAAGGGAAATAAACAGGCTTTATTACAACAAAGAAGTAATCTACCAAACACTTATTTCCTTACTTTATGTGCTTAGTTTATAGTTTTGTATCCTGAGAATAACAGATGTCCACCTCTTGTGGAAAAATGATATGGAAGCATATCATCTGTTACTTCAGTATGCTGAAACATGTAAGCAAACAGTTGTATTCTTAAGGAGAGGTTTTTCTCTCTGACAACATCTGCCTGCTGCAAACAAGGTAAAGTTGGAGCCCAAACTATGAGCTGAAAGATGCTTAAAGGCTAATAGTCTCTGTAGAGCTCAGGGGAACTGCATTGGGTCATAATAGTCTGCTACGAGTGACCCCTGTCCTGGTATACAAATGTCATCATAGTCATTACATGGTTATTAATAGTAAATATATACTTTAGAGCTGATTTAAACAACTTATCTTTGTTGAGGGTGCATTCTCTTTTATCAGCAATCTTGCTTCATCTAGATTAAATTCATCATACAAATATTTTTACACAAACACACTTTAGTCCTTGGTCCTCAAAGCCAGTATCTGTATGGTGACAGAGTGATGACCATGACTAGTGTTTTGCATTCCAGCCAGACATGCTTCACAGCAGCTCTTTCATGCTGCAGTTTTGCCAAACGCCTCTCAATGCGCTGCTTAAGATAACATTTAGC